CTGGTATAATGCTGTGTATTCTCCTCAATGTAACTTTGTTGAGCGAATGAATAAAACTGTAGGAACAGCTATTAGAACTTATGTTAAACAGCATACAGATTGGGATGTTCAGCTCTCTAATATTCAGTTTGCTTTAAATACTTCTAAACATGAGGTCACAGGTTTTTCTCCTTCATTTTTAGTTTTTGGTAGACATATTCCCATCTCTGGTAAGTATTATGGTCAAGTTAAGTTTCTGAAGATTTTGAAATTATGCCTGGCGATCGCAACTCTTACGCTTCTGAACTCAAAAATCTTTATAGTGTCTTTAGCGAAGTCCGTAAGAAACTTCATGCTGCTTATGAAAGAAACTCGAAGTCTTATAATTTGCGTAGGCGTGATTTATCTTTTCAGGTTGGTGATTTGGTTTGGTGACGTAATAAGGTCTTATCAAATGCTGGTATTAACTTTTCAGCCAAGTTAGCTCCTCGTTTTATTTTATCTTCAGTGCGAAAGAAAATCTCGAATTTAGTTTATGTTTTAGTAGACGAGAATGGTACTAACGCAGGCCGCTGGCATATAAAAGATCTTAAACCATACCAAGGTCACACGATTGACGACGATGATACAGAAAATGTCTCTACTACGTCACAGTAATTCAAATAATCTATTATGTCCGATTCCTTTTTAGGGTTTAGTCTAACGGATACATAGATTATATTTTAGTTCTTTTTAGTTTAGATTAAACAGTTATACAACATTTGCTTCTCTTTTTTTTACGGATTTGTCGCGAATCAGTATAACTATATTGTCATTTAGTTTTTTTGCGTACCTATATTTTTGATATGTTATAGTATTTCTATTTGGAAATGCGAGCATATGACAGTATTTTTTTTCGAGTATTCTACAGATTACCTAATTTTGAGTAAATATTTTGTGGAATGGTAATTCTGTTAATCACTCCTATAGTTTTATGTCATTTGCTCTATTCTTTGTTATTCAGTTCACAAGAATCTGAAATGTAAGAGATTCTTGTATTTTGTGTATTCTGAGAACACAACGTCGTGAAAAAACGAAAAGTTGTTATGATTTTGATTGCAACCTAGAAATGAGACGTAGCTAACCTCATGACTTCGTATGTTTTACTGTGTTTTGGATATTATTGTGATCTTCTTTCCATATTTGCAATAGCGTTTCATAGGCTGGAATCCTATGTTACGGATATTTTGGGTCCTTAGTGACAATCTTTTTTTCTCTTTGTGTCTTTCTATTGTGTTTTCTATTGTAATTTTCCTTCTTTTTCTCATACAGGTGAGTTACCTTGAATGGTTAACCGGTGAGCACACAGGTTGTGGCGAAGGTAGTTTGTCTTGATCACGCCAAACTAACCTCTTATAGTGATCCGTAGCATGGCTTTTGTTGAGGTTCTTTTGTTGTTTGTTTGTTCTCTGCTTCCTTGGGTGTGAGGGGTCGCATGAATGATTACACGCGATTTGTGAATCATTTCGTTGCCTCATACTAGGTGGGTTGAGTGCAGGCGATCAGCGGGGGAATTTCTTCAGAAACATCTGCGCTTCCATGGGATTCTTTTTTCTTTTCCTATCCCATACCTTTTTAAGTTTAAGTTTAGTTTTAGTTTGTCATATATTTTGTATATGATTTTGTTTTTTTTTTGGATTATGTGGTGATTTTGACTTTCCCGATTGTGTAACCTCCCCTGATTTGACATACCGATTGCGACTTACCAATTGTGACTCCTTTATGGACGTGTGATACACGAAGCTATCATCCACCAAATTTAATTTCAAAAATCTAAAAACATGTACCAATTTAATTTAGTTTTCCTTAGTGTTGTTTGGGCGAAAGTCCTCTTTGAGGGCCTTTCTTTTTTTTGAGGGGGCAGTGTAGCATTTTTATTCCCTTTAATAAAATTGAATTTAAAAATCTATTTTTATTTAAATTTCTTAGTATTGGCGCCATCTATTTGCTAGATGCCAAAGATACCAAACTCCATTTGTTACAGCTCACTTGTTTCGATATTTAATTTTTATTAGCGCATCTATTCGCTAGATGTCAAACTTCATTTCTTACAGTTTACTTGTCTTGTTTATTAGCGCCATCTATTCGCTATATGCCAAACTTCCTTAATTGCATTTCACTTGTCTGAATCTCACTTCGCTGTGGATTGCGATTTTCTGTTCTAATGATTTCGATCATATGATATCACTTTTTCTCTCTCTTTTCTTTTTTTTCTGGGAATTTGATCTGAAGAGGACGCGTGTTTCGGCGCCGACAAATTTTCCAGTGAAAAGCTCTGAATCCACTTTTCGATTTCGATTGCATGGGTATCCGATTTGGAGATTTGAAAACCTTGTAAAGTATGCAATCCAGAGTATAGATCGTATTTGTTTGGTTTCTTCTTGGAATAATTACCGTAAGTTTATCCGCCATTTTATATAGCCCCATCTAACTAAATTCTATTTCAGTTATTTCCGTTTTTTATTTCGTTTATTTGAGTATTTAATTACTGGTTTGGATCGGCATATGGTTTGAATATATTTATGTAAAGCTGATTTTCAGACCGTAAGTTGTTTTTTTTAATTGAGTATCTGTCCTGAGAACTATTTTTTATTTATAGAGTGACTACCACATGGTACTCAGTAACTACCACATGGTACTCAGTAATTACCACATGGTATGCAGTAATAATGCAGTAATTATTGTATGTTTCACCCACTTTCATTTTGTGTGGACCTATGCAGACCTTAAGACAGTGTTCCTGACATTACAATCGTTCTTTTGGCTGATATCGAAGACTTATCCTGCCATAGTCATCTGCATCCACTTCTGTTAGTCTGGAGAATACCTACCTACTTGTTTACATCATAAGAATCTATATACAGATAAGTCTTAAGTTTGATACACAAGGTACGCTTTTATTTTATAATTTTTGAGACAACAGATTTAATAACCTGGTAAAGTATCACTATTTATCCCACATATTGTAGTCAAAATTATTTTTTATTTAACGTTATAAGTTATAATTTGATTCGTACTTACTTAGACTATGATATTACACTCTTACTTAGCTATGATATTTTATATGAAAATTATTAACACATATTCATTTTAAAGGTTTTTGTACACGACATGTTTCGAAACATCATCGTATTGAGACATACATAAATTTCACCTGTGTTTATATTAAGTAGCTTACTTAGTTCAAAGAATACAGTTACTAAATTCAAATCTATTTAAAATAACTTGCGGTTTTATTGGGATCACTGTGACTAATTGATGATACTTGTGTTTGTTTTCAATAAATGTTTAATGTAGGATAGTTATTTCTGACTTTTATTCCTGATAAACATAATAGACCCTTAATGCTGTTGATTACTTTATTTTAGCTATGTTGTGATATCATATTTTTCTTTTTGGTTTCTTACTTTACCACTCTCATAAACAAAGTAAGTGGCGCCCTTTTCACTGTCTTTGACCATACCTATTTGAATTCTTAACATCAATATTAAAATCTCTGCAGCCTACATATTATCTTTTTTTTTATTTTTTAACAACATTAGAAAGTCACTGTGAGTCAGAAGCCTTACCTACGAACCCAGCTTTCCTCTAACCCTGAGCAACGGATTCTTTTTTCATTCTATTTGGGTAACGACAGAAAAGTCGTCACAAATCGAATTAGCATGATTGTTACAATTGTTGTGGATATCATCACATCATTGCTACTATTTGCTGACGAGTATTTAACACGCATCAGAAGATGGCTACGCAAGGCATTCTCTTTCATGAGCTTTTCAGTTACTGAAAACCCCGATACGATAATGATACGATGATGATCTCTCTTCCGCACTCCGGACATTCAAAAATCTCATTACTTTCTTGGCCTCTTTACTTTTTCGTTGTCGTTGTTAACTGAATTTACAATTCTTTTCCATTCCGTTCTGTTGTGCGCTGATGCCTCCCACTGATCCTGCATGCTTATCTCCTTTGGAAAACATCCTTGTATCTCTTGAGTTATCCTCTCGGTTTCCACTTACCGTCTACAAGGTCACCGTAAAGAGGAGATTTCGGTAGGCAGCTTTCTTGCATTCTACAAACGTGACCAGCCCATCTTAACGGGATTTAGTAATCATGATTTCTTGATTTCAGCGCTGTCGCAGTTAGCTTTTTCAAAGACCGATTATTTCCTATATGTGGGTGCAGACGGTTTGCCATAATTTCTACAAGAGTTTTTTCTCCGATAGTCAGTAATGAAATTTCCAGGTAGTTTCGGCAATCTGATGCACTTCCTTTGTTCTTAAATATATTCACTATCTCCGCTTTCCCATATGACATCGAAGAGAGCCTTACGGTGACCAATAAGTTCCTTACTTGTACACTTATAGATTTCTGCTGGAAGCGTGTCACAGCCAGCTTGTTTTTTGTTTTTAAATTGTTTTATGGAGGCCTTTATTTCCTCTTTCGTTATTGGGATATCCAATACACCAATTCTGTTATGGTAGTATTGTATTGTGTTTAGTAACTTCTATATTGGGGTTGTTTTCTTGATTAAGGATATGGCTGTAATGTTCTTTCCAGCGCTTTTCTTATTTGCTCTTCCTCTTTTAGCGTTACTGTGGATAAGTAATATTTTTTCAAACATTTATTCATAAATTAGGGCAAAGTATTGCTAGTTTGAAGCTTAGGAATAGATGGAAGAGGGAGAGAGATATAAGCCTGTCATGGCACTGACGGACATACAAATCTACACGATCGAGTAATTGATTAAAACAAATAAAACTAAAAAAAATGCCTTTTTATCGATGACGAGTAACCCTACTGACTGATTACTCAGGGGCGTAGCAAATTTAAATTATTTTATTAATTTAATTTAATATACAGGTTAAAAAAGAAAAATATTTTTTAACTAAAATTTTTCATCTAAGCGATTACCAACAATTATCAGACAGAGAGAAGTGGAAGAGATTGAGTGTTTATTCTTTAACTGGCAGATTCCTACTTACCTTTCTGTAGCTGTCGATGTACTTACGCTTACGATTGTGTTGTTGGAAGGTACCCTAAACAAAGGTTCGTTAAATTATTTTAATTTTATTCACTACTTTTTTTTAATTACTTGTCGTGAGAATGTGTGGTGCTTTTAGATGCGTGATTACTGTGGTCGGTAGGATTTGTTGAAACTAACGAATTTGGAGGAACCCTGTAAAAAAATAGAATATATATAACAAATAACAATATAACTAATTAATTATTAAAGAGCGATAGGATGCCGATTTTCTACCCCAAAATTTGTAAAGCGATATAATTTTGACAGATATGACGCCCGACGGCTTTTGGGTGTCAGAGGCTTGGGTCACCCTGTATAATAATAAAACTATTAATAAAAAAATATTAGAATCTAGGTAACTTTAAAACGGTTTCTTCCAAAGATATCAAAACATACCTTTATTATCTTTGGTTTCTTCCAATTGTCTCTAAGCATATTAATATTGTATTAAATTTTTACTTTAATATGGTTATTGCTACCTGAATGGAAAGTTAGTTTTCTTACACCATAATATCTAAGTATAACCTACCGGGTACGTTTCAAAAGTGGCGCACACCTATAACTTTTTTATTTTTTCAGATAAAAAAAACGAAATTTGGTATGTTAGGATATGACATAAACTAGGATTGGTTGACATATTCAATTGTTTCTGGCCATCTTCTGTTTCATCGGAAATGACTACAACTTTGAATTTTAAATGAGACACTCGGTATTTTTTTACTTTATTTAATAGAAAATGACACTCTGAATAGAATGACATAGCATATGTGAACTTTTGAGATTTTCGCATATGGTTTATTTGAAATTCATGAACTTTTGGTTCATAACGACATTTTGACTCGAAATACTAAGTGTGTAGTACAGGGGCGCATATACAGGAGGGGTAATGGAGGTAATGGGGGTAATGGGGGTAATTACCCCTCCCAGAAAGAGATTTATAAATAAGAAAATGTGGTATAAAATAAAATTGACATAAAAGAAATTAGTTTAATACCACTCAAAATAGAAAATCTAGACCAACCCAAGTTTATTTTTTCCGTAGTCGCAATACCTTTAGGAAAAATTTAATTTAAATGTAGCACTTTATTTAAATATTGACACTACCCCTCCCAGACTTGGTGGCGCCACTGGTGTGGTACCAAATTATTCGTAAAGAAATGCTTTTTCCAAATATGCTAATGAGCCACCCTCGTTCCATTTGAAAAAATTGAGATATGCTTAAAAATACGATCTGGGCATCATTTAATCAGCCAGGACAAGACACAACAAACATTAGACGATCAAATATATTTTTCCAAGGCTACTTGATAAACAAAATTAGTGTCTCTAACACAGCCATGGCACTCTAGATTAAAATTTAAAATACGATTTTTTAGATGAAAATGTAAAAAGTTGACATTCTATTCAGAGTGTTATTTTCTATCGAATAAAGTAAAAATATACGGAGGGTGTAAAAATCAAAAGTTGTAGTCATTTCTGGTAAAACAGGAAGTGAACAAAAATAATTGAATACGTCAATCAATTCTAATTTATGTCATGTACTGCAGATTTGGTATGTTTACCAAATCTCGTTTTTTTTATCTGAAAAAATAAAAAAAGTTATAGGGGTAAGCCACTTTTGAGACGCACCCGGTATATTCACTATATTAATGTAAAAATTAACAATATTGAAAAATGCAAGTTACTCTTGTATGATTGACGGTTTCTCTTCTGAAATTTCTTTTTGTTCTATGCTAGGTGTGGTATTAAACTGCTCAACCTCTGATTCTGTACCAGTCAGTTCATTTTTCTCTTCTGATTTACTCTCTTTAATTGATTTACTCCCTTCAATTAATTTACTCTCTTTACTAATTTTGGAATCATGATGACTTGAAGACGGCGTTTTCTCAATACTAAAAAAAAATTAGAGCAAAAACGGAAAATCATCTTTAATAATTTTACCTTTTACTAGAATGATGGTGAGAAGGTTCAATGGAATGAGATTCGCTGTGCCTAAAACAAAAAATTAACATTTTTACTTTGCATAAACAAAAATTTATATTATTTAACTAACTTTGTGTCGCTGTATGAAACGTTTTTAATGGAGGGGGGTTTCTTGATGCTTTCTTCAATATGTGGCAGCCTTTCTTCATGTTCAGAATGAGTGTTTCGTACAAGTGAATCATCGCATAACTTTAAGAGAGCTGCCAAACCAACTAAAATAGGCTCATCAACCGTAGGTCCCAGAACATTCCCATATAAGTTTGGTCCATGTACGCACTTCATAAAAATCATTCAAATAAAATATTTTTCAAAAAATAAATTTTTAATATCCAGGGTGGAGCCTCTCATACGACGCGGAGGCTCCAAGGAGAACGACAGCTTGTATTGAAATGAAATTTTGTGAGCATATGTAGGTTAATTTAAAGCATTTTTTTAAATATAGAGAGTTTTACACGGTATCCCGAAAAAAAAGATCCCAAACCAAATCAAAGTTTTTTTTTTGTAATGAAACACCCTATATATTAATTGATTTACGGATTCTAGCAGAAAAATAATGGTGAGTTTCATTAGAGAAGTATATGACTAAAATGTAAGGTTTTTGACATATTTAACGTTTAAACTAAAAATGAAGAATACATTTTAAATTTCAATAAAAACTACTTAAATTGGAATTTACCTAGTATCCTTTAAATTAAACTAAAACTTGATCGAAAAAGTTATACAGGGTGAGGCAAAATTAATGTTGAACATTGGTCACCTTTAAAAGCAAGTTACTCTTTTATTTTAAATGGAACACCCAGTATGTTACTTCGATGTTCAACGGGAATTCATGTCTCTTCAAAATACTATAAAGGTTGCCTACCCCTCAAGCAAATATTTTCATAGATATTTTCATTTTTATGATTTAGTGTCAGTCGATCTTTATTATTTAATAAAATCTAGTTGGCAGTGCTCAGTGCTCTTGACGTTACTTCACCACAGCTGTCAATAGTTTAATTATAACAACTAGTTATGATTTTGTACCAACTAAAATTAAAAAAATTATTATCAGAAATTTGCCGAAAATGGAAACTTATCCTATATCAAAGAGAATTGATATGATGCTATTAATTGGTGACTTGCAGTGTGCATTCACCAATTAATAGAATTCTTAAATGCTCCTGATTTATTTAGATTGGACTTTTTTTTATTGAGATATGTTAAAGACAGTGTTTAAAAAACTCGACCAATTATTGTCGACAACACGAGATTGTCGCTACTTTTCAGAAGAGAAAACTCCAGATATGCCTCCAGTAGAACTCCAGATATGCCTCTTAATATAAAAAAGATTTTTTGAAAAAAGAATAATTTTATGCAGTGACGAGGAAAGGAAGCATTTTGAGCATTTGATTTCATATAGCTATTTTTTGTCCCATAATTATACGTTTGTAACTAGTTTTATTTCTATAATAATTAACATATGCTTTAAACGTGTCTTATGTTTAAAATAATTTTATTAATGTTGAATATTTTACTCTCCATCTTTTATTTTTTGTTAAATTATTGACCACCTAGATTTTATCAATTAATAAATACTGATGCAAAATCATAAAGATGAAAATATTTCAAAAAATCTTCGTCGAAGAGGTCGGCAAATTTATGAAATTTTTATTTTTATTTTAACTGACACAAAATGATAACTAGTTGTTAAAGTTGAACTAATTAGACAGCTATGTTGAAATAACGTCAGACGTGTCACAGCCACCTAGATTTTATCAAATAATAAAGATCTACTCAGACCAAATCATGTAAATGAAAATATCCAGGTAAATCTTTATTTGAGTGGTAGGCAATTAATAGGATTTTGAAGATATATAAATTCTCCATTGAATATCGGAGTAATATACTGGGTGTTCCATTTAAAATAAAGGAGTAACTTGCTTTTAAAAGTGGCAATTGTTCAATATTAATTTTGTCTCACCCTATATAACTTTTTGGGCCAAATTTTAATTTGGTTTCACATATAATGGTTATTTTAACCAAATAACAGGCTATACAGAATAAATAACAATTTAGATATTATTGAAATTTAAATTTTTTTCTTCATTTTCTCAAAATGTGAAATATGTCAAAAACCTTATAATTTAGGGATACTTCTTTAATGAAACTTACCTTTATTTTTTTTTTTCAGAATCCGAAAATCAATAAATATATAGGGTGTTCCATTACAAAAAAAACAACTTTGATACTTAACTTTTTCTGGAAACAACCTGTAGTAACTCTCTATATTTTTAACAAATGCTCTAAATTAACTTACATCTGCTCCCAAAATTTCATTTTGATACAATTTGCCGTTCTCTTTGGAGCCTCCGAGCCGTATGAGGGGCGCCGCCCTGTACAGAGTGTCCCAATATTCCGTGGACTGCGTAGTTTTGGAGTCAAAATAGGTTCACTGAATATAATTTACCTCTATACAAAAGTTTTTCGGTTAGATTAGATTTAAGATATTTTAAGAACCGTTATTCCGATTTCAATGAGATTTGGGGTAGCTATATATGTTTTGCTAAGTGCTTTAACATTTGACTTTCACATAAGTCATGAAAAGTACGGGAAGGGGAAATCTAAATATTAACCTAAATATTTTCTCCTGAACTCCACAGACGAATTTAAAATTTGTGAAGCTTATTGTCAAAAAATATCATTTGTGATACTAACATCCAACTAAACTATTAAACTTACCAAGACTAGTAAAACTAACGCCAACTAGATTATTAGGGCATACTAGATTTAATGCGCCTACATAGCTTGATGTGACAAGAAATACTTATTTAAGACAGCTTCGGCAAAACTTTTTTTTCTCAAAAAGTATGCGCGGTGGTTTTTTTTTTTAATAGAGACAAAAAATGTAGTAAATACTAGAGCGACCATTATAAAAAAAATATGTCGTCGGTAGAGTTGAAAAATAATTTTACTAACATTTATGTAGGAGTGGGAGCAGTTCCCTCTTCGTACTTTTTCTTGATTTTTGTCAACGTCAAATGTTGAAGCAACTATCTAGGCAACCCAAATCTCATTCAAATCGGAATAACAGTTCTTAAGATATTTTAAAAATGTGCCTATTTTTTTAAGGCTGTACTTAAACTGCCGTTAAACGGTAGCTTACTAAAATGCCGTTAATAGGTATGACGTCGTTGGTGTGACGCCCTTGACGGGCTTTATTAAATATAGGAATTTTATAAGAACTAACGCTATCCATCCCACCAACTAACCAACTTAACCAACGCAACTAACCTCGACACTGATAAAAAATATAGAAAACAAATATAAATTAGTAAAAACCAACCAACCCCACCAAATAACCAACTAACCAATGAATTAACACCCTCCAAATAACCACGCTAACCAACTCGCCAAATAACTAAACCAATCTAACCAAAAAGAGTGAAACCAATGCAATAAGATCACGCTATAAGAAAAAATATATATAAAAAAGTCTTGGTCGGCGTGAGATTTGAACCACGGACCATGCGCTCACGAAGCTATAACCTCAGCCACGGAGCCACAGGTGCTCTTGCAAAATGCTTATAGGTAGGCATTACTTTCCGCCGACATGAACGACGTCACAATATCTATTAACGGCATTTTAGTAGGCCACCGTTTAACGGCTGTTTAAGTACATCGTTTTTTTAATGTTTGATGCTCTCTAAAGGGGGAGCGCCCACCAAAGTAACGTAGCATTTGACGTTGCACATACATGGCAATGATATAGCAATAGTGTTGCATGATTTTTCACGAAGAGCACATATAAGTAATGTGGCAGTGGCGTAACAATTGTAAATCTAATTAATATGAACCAAAATTATCCAAAGCGTCGCTATTGGATACACCCCTTTTACAAAAAGAGACAAAGGACCAGTGGATTTAGTGTTTTTAAGGAATTGAATAACTATCCTGAAAAATGTCAAGCATTTTATAGAATGAAAAAAGAAACCTTTGATGTGCTAGTTAGAAAAGTTGTTCCCATGCCAAGTCTTGTTTATTACTCTTGGAATAATCGGCAGGAGTGTGATCATAAATGCATAGTTCAGTCTCATCAATGATACAAAACGTATATTGAAGTCGGGATCGTCCTTCATTTTTGCCAAATTTGAATAACGTGTTAATGCACGTGGCAAAAAATAGAACCGGTTCTATTTTTGAAGCAGTGGCATGGTATGTTATAACGACAAATAACACGTTTCTGACAGCGCTACTTCAGTGTGCGCTGACACACTTATTGTCGTTTGTTCAATTCGACGTAACTTGCTAGATGCCCATGTTATACTTGTCAGATTACGTGCCACGTCAGATGCTACGTCACTTTGGTGGGCGCGCACTAACAGACAAACAAAGCAGTTTTGTATAGAGGTAAATTGTGTCCAATAAACTTATTTTTATTCTAAAAATATGTAGAAGTTCTATGTTCACGCAATATTGGGATACATACACATTTACCCCCTACAAATAGTTTTAACATAATATGGGACTGAGACTTTTTCCTTTTTAATTTAAAAATCAGGTCTCTTTCAGAAAAATGAATGCCTTCTTTAGATTGATTTTTCTATACAAAAATTTATAATAAGCCATACTTAACTGGATTGTTATACTCTTTTATATGCGAATCATTTGATTTTGAAGCTTTTTTGTCTCCTGAGTGGCTTCTATGTGGCGACTTATTTCTGTCACTTGAATTTAAACTTTTTGATCTAAAAATTAACACATTTGTACTAAAATGGATGCCTAAAAACATTAAATTTGATTTACCGAGGAGAGTGAACCGAGTGATGATTGCTTTTATCTGAACGGTGATCACTATGGCTCCTCGAAGAACTATGATGAATGGACTCCTTGTCTTAAAAATTTAGGTATAATTATTAATTACTTTAAAAATGTTACCTACCTTTTAAAGCCGACCTAGACATTTTGCACCATTATTTTCTTAAGAAATTATGTTATTTAAATTTTGCACTGATTAATTTTATTAAATAAATTGCCAAAACATTTTGATCGAGTTGTCATTTTTGGCGTTTTGTAATGATTTTATGTTGATGGGTATACAGTTTCCTTTTTATATCCATAGAGTTAAAAAAGTTTAATCCCTATTTGCAAATTGTGTAAAAATCTTTAAAAAGGTAAAAGTAAAAATAGTATATATAATAGTCGGATTCATCTCTCCAAAAAAAATTATTAATAATAAAAATATTTTTTTTTATTATTATAAAAATGATTGATGTAATCGTCAATTTCTGTCAATCGTGTCAATTATATCATAAAACATCCCCCTTTAGAACTTTTTCTTTAATGGCCATAAGCGGGAGTAAAAGCCCAACCGCCCGAACAAACACTAGAGGCGCCACCGGTCATCAAATGGTGTAAAAATTGCGAAAATTTAATCTTCTAATTTTGACACAAGGGGTCGGGCTTAACTTTTTCAATTTTAATTCAATATTCATTGTTTTCAAACTATATTATTAGACTTTGTTGTATTTTGTGAATGTATAAATGTTTTCTAAGTATAAAGTTGCATTATAGTAATTTAAATTATATTACATACATATTTAAGATTCAAATATTATGACATATGTCAGTTGCCGTCTAAAATGTCATCTTGATAACAAAAAGTTAGTTATTGTAAAGGTTATTGTCAAAAGTAGTTAAAATCATGTTAAAATATTAAAATTTACAAGTTATAATTAGATATTTTATATTATTTCAATAACAAACACATAATAGTACAGCGTAATGTTGATATGCAGGTTCAAAACAAAAAGTGCCGTTATATTTTTCAGTTTTCGTTGTCAGCCGCGGAAATTTCAGTGATTTTAGTGTTGTCGGATATTTTTATTTGTGAAATAGAAATATTGCGTTTGGATTGCAAAACTAAAACTGGATGTTTTATTGCAATGTAAGTAAGCGTTTGTCCATTTTATATTTTACTTTTTTCATACCTACGACAAATATACATATATTGAAATTTTATAATTCGTTTTATTTAAAAAATGTTAGAAAACAAGCTTGTAATCCTGTAATTGACATAATTGTTATGTAATATATTTCATTTAAATGTAATATATTACTTTACAATTAAAAAAATGTAAATTTAAAAAATATATTAAAATATATACAGGCATTAATTGAAATTTTTTGAGTGCGAACAAACACGAGAGGCGCTTTATTATTTACTTTCATTTCTTAACATGACAGACGAAGTTCTAAAGGGGGATGTTTTGTGAATTATATACACTACCAGGGACAAAATAGAAACAACTTTTCTGATAAATAAAGATTTAAATATTGAAAATTAAATTAATGTCTATGGATATTAATGATCATGAAGTTTAAATAGTAATGGAGGGTGTAGCTTACAGCTGACAGATAAAATGGACTTGAGTCAGTAATTAACTTTATATCTGTGTTTAACAAATTCATTGCCATTCTTAGACTTTTAAACTCATATTTGTTTTTATTATATTTATATTAAAAGCTACTACGGATACACATGAGAAATCATTAGGATGATAGAACAATACGTTAATGTTAATAGTGATGATATCTTTAGGGCGACTTCATGTCTTAAAAAAATGTCTGGATATTTCGCCTAAAAAATTTAAACTAATTGATTACTATCATCTAGAGAGATGCTTGAGCAATACATTTATTTTTTCCATAGCAACTGTTAAAATTACCTTATATCTATCAAAAATAGTAGATAAAATAGTATATTTGAGTATATTAAACAACGAGTTTCGAAAACGACGTTTTGCACACGAGTTCGGCAGTTTGTTGAAGTTCGGCAGTTTGCACACGAGTTCGACACAAGTCGAACGAGTGTACAAAGAAGTTTTCGAACGAGTTTTTAACGCTATTTTTTCTACGACTACAAATTAGCACCAGACTCACTCAGTTTTTGCCAGTTTTCTGAAATAATTTGCGATGTAATGATGACACTTTTCTGACGGCTGCGTTGCGTTTGGGTTTTCACCTAAACATTGGAGATTAAAAATGTTAAAATTGGCACATGTCGTGTGCAAAATGACACATATCGTGCGCTACATCCCATGCTAAATCCTTAGCACAGAACAGTTTGCAAAACGATAATCATAACCAACATGACATACAGGCCAGAGACATCGATTTGTGACGTCACCGCACTAGTCGGGCTTTTGTATTGTGCCATATGGTACTGCATATAGTTTTTGCATAAATAATAGTATGTATTGATAGTTTTGCCAGATATAAATATGAAAAATATTATACTGAAAGGTATTAAAAAATAACATTAACTTTTTATCGCGTTAAAGTAACTGAATAGCATTAAAATTTAGATCTAAAGCACGAATATTAACATGAAATAAACTACAGCATAAGATAAATAAAATAAAATCTAGATAATAAAAAGCGTGTCATAAAATTGCGTTAGCGAGCATTTAGCATCTAGTAATAATATACCTGTGATAAAAAGTTTCCAAATATTAAAAAATTTTAAAACTATACGTTTATCGACAAGTTAAGAAAATGTATTGTATATGATAACGGCAGAATACATTTTAAAGTTTAATTAAAAATAATTGTAAAAATTTGCCTAACATATTTAAAAAATGTGGATATCAGATAGAATTAACTATTAACATTAAGTAATTTGTAGTTCGATGTTCATCAATGGTTACTTGATGAAAATCCATAAATCGTAAATAAAAAGATAAATCATTTTATTATATAAAATACTGAAATAAAGTACAAATTCATTTAATTTCTTTAAAATATATTGCCATTTCATAATAATAATATATATTTCATAATAATAATAATACTTTTCAATATTTATTTCATCCTGAATTTCCAAATCTTGTTTTCTTTCATCGGGACGTTTTCTCTTTATGGGAACATGCACAGAGGGTCCATAAGAGGGTTGATTTGGAAAAATTGTAGGCACAGCATGTTCTGTAGGTTTTGGACGTGACTTAGTTACAGCTAATATTGTTGGGAAAGAGAATGTAGACACATCCTGAGGACTTATTATAATTGCTGCTACAAGGCACAGGCACAGAACAATATCGCGGAATTTTTTATTTCACAAAGTAAAAATAAAGAAACGAAAACTGTTTTACATAAAAATACACGTCACTTAGGTTGGTTTAACACTATACACTAACACTAACGCTATTAATTATGTTTTTATATAAATTCCCCAACTTTTTCCTAGCCCGGACACACAGCCGGTATCGCCGGTGTTACTATAATTTTTACCGAAAGTATGGTTTTTTTCGCGGGTACGATGTTAAGAATCGGATCTAGATAGTTTACTATTCACTCAAAATTATTTAGTATAATTTTATTAGCATAGAAACGCGTAAAAAACACAGATTTGTTGCGAAACTAATGGAAACAATTGGTTTGTTTACGACTACTAATTCTGGATCACTTAGGTAGAACTGTCAAAACAGTCAGGCCTTGAATATGACGTTAGCCACGCGCCAATTTCAGATCGAGTTTTCCGTGTGTCAAATTGCATCTTCTAGACTAGTCGTAGGAAATAGTACTTTAACCGCAAGGGTAGATTAAATGATACTTTAACAGCGAGGATAGGTTAAAAAAAATTGGGAATTCCTTTTCATAAGTTATTCGGGATTTAAATGGAAGATTGGATATGGCATTTGTCGCCTCAGCCTGAATATATGTTGGTAATTTACTTATTTCGTTTTGAGCCATATCTGGCTCCAATTCAATCAGCAATCAACACGAAAAAGAATTAAAAAATATTGACTCAAAACTGACAACTAAAGAGACAGCTTTATTTATTTGTCAAATTACATAGAAACCAACGCCAACCCAGCACAATATTTTTTCTACTCGTAATAAATTCCTTGAAATAATAATTTATGAATATTTTTTAAAACGTAACTCGCTATGGAAAAAAATATTGTTTTATACACGACGATAAAATTGCATTATCGTCTCCCGAAATTAATTCACTCGCGATTAATCTATTCGGTCGACGATAAAATACAATTTTATCGTCTTGTAAAAAAAAATAACTATTATATTTATTTGAATTAGAATCGCCCCTTCCGTTTTTCGTTGAGATGCTATATAGCATTAAAATGTTTGCATTTTTAAGGTCTACTTTATGGCCTGCGTTCGATAAATGTTAACAAATTTTAGATTTTCGAAAATCCCATTTTTAAAATTAAACGAAATTTAAGTTCAAAAAGGTAAAATTTCTAAGTAATTCTGAAATTTTAAGTACCTTTTCGAATTGCTACGGTACGCAAACCAATCGAATGTGATCAAGAGAGACAGACGATTTGAACCCAAAGACCGAGAGAGAGTGGCCTAGTACCTACCACCTGGTGACCAGCGAGACGAGTTCACTCAGTCAGTCAGTCAGTGTGCCGGTACTCTGCAGATTACAGGTCGTATACGAGAATTAAATGCAGCAGGACCTATGAGCAGGACACACGATATGAAAAACGGTGTCACGATATTTAATGGTAAGTTTACACTCGCTTCAGTTTAATATATTTTAGTTCCTTATGTGATATTACTAATTGTAGTTAGATACGAATGTAAGGTAGTAATGAGCTTTCTAATATTGCGAATAGGTGGGGATAAGTGGGGGAAAGGTGTATCTTAATATACGGGGTTATGTTTCTAAAATATAAAAAGTAAAATATCTATCAACATTGTTATTTAAAATTTCACAAAAATCGTGAATGGTTGAAGAGGTCCAATGTTAAGAATCCCATAATATTTTTGTAAATATTAATTTATATATACATCCTCAAATGTACAGTATTAGAATTTTATTTTGATCCACTTTTAACACACTTTAACTTTATATTTTTTAACTAGAATATTCATTATAAAATAAATTAGAGTGCCTATTTTTAGTGAAGTAGTTACGGTGAAATATCACGGGAAATACACGATACTTTGTTTATATATATTTTTATTAATTAGTTCCATTTACGTATTAAAACTTGACTTCAAAAAGTTAAATCCTGTCAAATATGGGGGAAAATAAAATGATAACACTGTTGTAGTGCTATATTGATATATTTTCAACGCAATATATAGATATTTTGTAAAGGTCCTGTTTAAGTATATTTTTTCAAATTTTAGAATTCCTTTCAGATTATTTGTGTTCATTATACCATAAAATAATCTATTTTACAAACTTCTACTAATTAGCAACCTTATAATCTTAAAAATATTATTTTCAGCTAAAATTCGATGAAAATAATCCTTGACTTGTGATGTTCAGCAATAACTAACCGCATTTGACTTGACCCAGTTTTAATATTTGACGATTTTCGTCTAGTTTGTGAATGCCTTTTACCTACATTCTCATAACCAATATTTTAAATACCGCATGATCGAAAACAAACGGCGGCGACGTCCAGTTGGCTTGGAAATAAACATCGATGAGATACCTTTTTGTACATATAAAATGACAGCGATTTTCATTTCATAGCCAACTGTACGCCTTTTTTCGATCATACAGCGCTATTATAATCGTGAAAAAATATTAAAAGCATAGAGTTTTATTTATATACATGTTATAGTGCATGGTTTCTTAAAGTATTTTGAGATTTTAACTACATAAATACAGGGTGGCGCCTCTCATACGCCACGGAAACTCCAAGAAACACGGTAGTTTATATCAAAATGAAATTTTGGCAGCATATCTAGGTTAACTGAAAGCAAGCATTTTAGAAAAATATATAGAATTATACAGGGTGTCCCCAAAAAAAGTTACACATCAAAGTTGTGTTTTTTCTGATGGAACACCCTATATATTAATTGATTTTCGGATTCTAGGAAAAAAATAAAGGTGAGTTTTATTGACGAAGATATACCTAAAATCTAAAGATTTTGGCATAATATTTCATATTTCCTGAAAATTAAGAGTAAATTTTAAATTTCCATAACAGCTACCTAAATTTTAGTTGACATTGTATAGTCTGATATTTAATTACAGTAACCATTGTATGTTAAACCAAATTGAAATTTGACCCGAAAAGTTATACAGGGTGAGACAAAATTAATATAAAACATTTGTCACTTTTAAAAGCAAGTTACTCCTTTATTTTAAATGGAACACCCAGTAAATTTTTCCGGTGTTCAGTGGGGAATTTATATATCTTCAAAATATTATCAAGGTTGCCTACCTCTCAGACAAAGATTTTCCTAGATATTTCAATTTTTATGATTTTGCGTCAGTAGATCTTTATTATTTGAAAAAAATCTAGGTGGCTGTGTGATACACCTTTTGTTAATTTAACAAAAATTAAAGATTGTGGAGTAAAATACTCAATGGTAATAAAAAGATACACGTTTAAAACATATTTTAATTATTACAGAATTAAAACTATAACCTATATACCGGGTGCGTCTCAAAAGTGGCTCACCCCTATAACTTTTTTATTTTTTCAGTTAAAAGAACGAGATTTTGTATGTTAGTATATGACAAAAATTAGGATTGATTGACGTATTTAATTGTTTTTGGTCACTTCCTATTTCACCGAAAATGACTATAACTTTTGATTTTTAAATGGCACCCTCGGTATTTTTTTACTAGTATTTTTTTACCATAAAATAACACTCTGAATAGAATGACATATCATATGTCAACTTTTGACATTTTCGTATATGGTTTATTTGGAATTATAACTTGCGGTTCGTAACGAAAATTTGACTCGAATTACCAAGTGTGTGGTATCAAATTATTCGTAAAAAAATGCTTTTTCCAAATATGCTAATGAGCCACCCTCGTTCCATTTGAAAAATTTGAGATATAATTAAAAATACTATTTGAGCATAGTGATTCCCACGAGACCAACGAGATGAGACTTTCATAAAGTCTTGTCTCGTCTCGCCGTTAAAATAAGAAGTCTCGTATCGAGTCTCGTCTCGTCTCGCGTCTCGTACGAGAGTCTCGTGAAAGTATCGAAACTTCGTCATGCATAATCCTTCTTCCAGTCCAGTACGGGATATGTATTTATAGTGACATCGTGCAGATTCATTATTAAGACGATTTCTTTGTTTTCTAATGGTTAACGCAGCACGAGAGAATAACCTTTCCGCCGGGACTAAGGTAGCTGGTATACTCAAGAGATCTCGTGCCATCAAACTTAAAATGGGAAGTTCAGAACCATACTTCTCCACCATTGTAATATGAATGTGTCTTTATTACACCGGGGAATTGAATAGTATTTTTGAAGCTCCTGCATCCATTCTCCTTCGGCAGGGGTAGGATTTACTGCGTACAGGGCATCAAAATCAATTACAAAGTCCGACTTTTCAGGTCCAAGATTTTCTCGGACCCTTGTTGCGCCACCGCAGTTTCTGTCGAACGTTGTCCCTCTAATTGATGAAAATAGACTTTACAAATATCTTGAAATTTCTGAATCGAATTATCTTCCTTAGTCTTAATAATTCTTGGCCCCATTTTGTCATATCAAACGTTTCTAACTTATGAAGTGGATCGAGAATTAAAACTGCAGTTTGTTTTACGATAATGCTTTAGTATATTGTCTCTAGCAGCCTGAAAACCAACAATAAGCTGCTCTTCGACAGGGGTTCGATTTGTTTTTCTGTCCCATTTAAATATTTTGCTCTCAAGATTGTCTATTAGTACATATATTGATACATACAACCACCATAGGTAAGGTGACGTACTTCTTTCCTCCGAGTTTTTTGGAAAGTATTTGAAAGTTGATTAATAATTTGTGCACTTCTTCTAGCAGTATCCATTATTCATCTCTAAGAGCATATGGTTTTAAATCAACAACATTTTGACATAATACACCGAGTCCATGTCTGCCTTTAAGAGCTACTTGCAACATATCATTACTGGAATTCCAGCGTGTAGGGACATCCAACACAGGTGTCAGTTGCCGAGAATTACCAGTTGTTTCACACGCACTTCGGAACTTAGTAAAAGTTGGTTTTTAAGTAAAGGTTTTTCAAGTATTCACCTGCGAGACACTCGTATGAGACACAAGTAGTCTCGCACGAGACTCGAGACGAGACCAATAAAAGTCTCGTCTCGTATTCTCCGAGTATCGTCTCAGTCTCGCCTCGAAAACGAGACGAGACCATACGAGACTCTCGAAAACGAGACTCTCGTAGGAATCACTATTTGAGCATTTTCTAACTGGCCAGGACAAGACACTAAAAACATTAGACGATCAAATCTATTTTTCCAAGGCTCCTTGATTAAGAATTAGTGTTTATAACATAGCCATGGCACTCGAGATTGAATTTTAAAATACGATTTTTTATTAAAAAAAACAACAAAAGTTGACATATGATATGTCATTATATTCAGAATATCATTTTCTATTGAATAGATCTATCTCTCTATCGAAGTAAAAAAATACCGAGAGTGTCATTTAAAAATCAAAAGTTGTAGTCATTTCCGATAAAACAGGTGGTAGCCAAAAACAATTCAATACGTCAATCAATCCTAGTTTAAGTCATATACTAACATACCAAATCTCGTTTTTTTATCTAAAAAAATAAAAAAAGTTATAGGGGTGAGCCACTTTTGAGACGCACACGATATAAGTTTTTTTTATAATTATAGGTTTATATATGTATAAGATATAAATCTATAATTATGTGACAAAAATTAGCTATTAATCAAATGCTCAAAATGCTTCCTTTTCAATAAAGTGATTGCCAAAAGGATCTTTTCATTTTAAAAGGCATAATATGTGGAGCAGAAACCTCGAAAAGCAGCTACAATAATTTCTCTCATGTTGTCGACAATAATAGGTAGTTAGTTAGTCGAGTTTTGTATAGACTGTTTTTAACATATTCCCAAAAATAAACCCAGACTAGATAAAATCAGGAGCATTTATTTAAGTATTCTATTAATTATTCTATTAGTTTGTATATATGGCAGTGAGCATTCACCAACGAATAGAATCATATCAATTCTCTCTGATGCAGAATAAGTTTGCATTTTCGATAAATTTCTGATTTTTTGTTTTTTTTTGTTTTAACTGACACTAAGGATCTACTCAGTAACTAGTACTAGTAACTTAAGATCTACTCAGATCAAATCATGTAAATGAAAATATCTAGGAGAATCTTTGTTTTGGGAGTAGGCAACCATAATAGGATTTTGAGGAGACATGAATTTTCCATTGAATATCGGAATAATATATGGGTGTACCATTTACAATAAAAGAGTAACATGCTTTTAAAGGTGACCAATGTTCAATATTAATTTTGTCTCACCCTGTATAACTTTTTGGACCAAGTTTTAATTTGATTTAAAGTACAATAGTTAATTTAACTAGATATTAGGCTATAACGGGTAAATTCCAATTTAGGTAGCTTTTATTGTAATTTAAAAATTGTTCTTTATTTCTAGAAAATGTTAAATATTATGTCAAAAACCTTACATTTTAGTCATATACTTCTCTCATAAAACTCACCTTTATTTATCTCCCAGAATCCGAAAATCAATTAATATATA